TCAAGAAAAATTTCATGCCCTTCTGTGTTCCTTCATATGTTCCTAGATGTTAATCATATACTGTCATTTACCCTGTGATGACTCATTTATCTTTCTACTTTTTTTAAATAAAACTTCTATGAGGCCTTTACTCTTGCAATACATTATGAAGTCATTGCTTTCACTTAATGGGAATGCATCATTTACTTATTAGGGCTTCTCAATCCAAGACAAAGTTAAACTATTATTTAATGCTATAGCAATTATAACCACGAAGGGCAAAGTCAAGCACAGAGATCCCGTGGCACCATCTCATTTTCAAAGTAATTCAGATGAACTGGAACATATAATATATGTGTAATATGTAATGTATTGAAGAAAATGAGAGCTGTGCACACCGTTTTCACCCATTGATTTACTCCCCAAATACCCTGACAGAGGGGCCAGAGTGAGCAGCTGGGAACTCACATGTACAAGAACTTGACTCATTCCTTATCACTGTCTCTGAGGATTTGCATCAGCAAGAAGTTGAAATGAAGAGCCCAAGCCAGGACATTAACCAGAAACTCCTGTGTGGGATATGGATGTCCTAACTGGATCGTAACTGCTGGATCAGGTTTTCCTAAACCTGTAAAACATTTTTATGTCGCAAAAACATGACACAAAACATTCATTTATTTATCTATAATTTTTAAAATATTATTTACATGCCCAGTCCATGTGGACCTCTGATTAGGGTATGGAGCATCAGGTATGGAAAAACTTGGGTGGGACAAGTGTTTCATTTTTTTCCTGTGTCTGTAGGGGAGGAGGCTGATCCTTGCTGTCAAACTACACTCAGGGATAAGGTTTGGTTCTTTGATGCTGCCTTAGAGACCTTGATGTGAGGAAGAGTGTGCCAAAGGTGTTACTTGAATGGTTTTGATAGGTCTGAGAAGTTGTTGGTTTCACCGCTCCAGGGTAGAGAAGATCTTTCCAAAGAGTGTTGGTTGACAAAGTCCACTTTAGTGCCTCCACAAATCCATGAACATGCTGCAAATATTGCCCAGGAGAGTCGTCCAACCTGTTCTACTTTGTATCCTTTGGTAAGGCAGGTGACTTTCCTGCTAGCTTAGATCTGGGAATGCTGTCCACTGCACAGGCATCAGCAACTTAGAAGGCCCAGCCTCAATACATGTACTCTAAGGTTGGATCACATATCCTGTGATTTTCCCTGTGACCATGGTCTAAGTCCAGTGACCTAGTTGGGGCGTCGCCTAAGACCTCATTTGGAGTGACCTCAAACCTGATTTGTGACTGTCAGGTGTGGTCTGTCACATGCACCAGCCCTTGCATACACTGGTGGATTCAGCTGCCTCATCAGTTCTACCCCAGTCCCATATCATACAAAATGACAGGAGCTGCAGCCTAGACTAGTAGCCTACCACAGGCCCAGTCCTCATGCATGCCAGTGGGTGCCTTGGCCTAGTTGGGATGACCCAAATTACCACCACCAGGCCCACCGCCAGCCTAGATTTTTGTGTGTGCCAGCCTCTGTTACAGCCTAGCCCAGCCCATCCTGTATCCCATCCTTTTTGCATGGACACTTGTGGGTGCTGCAGCTTAGCTCAACCCGACTTGTCCCCAGACCTGGCCCTCTCCTGTGCTGACAGGTGTCACCATCTTGTCCAGGCTGTCCTGCCTCCAGTGGTTCTTGTGCTCACCAATGAGAGGTATAACCTAATAGAATGCTCACAGATCCCCTGCCAGGTATCTTCCCAGCCCTGAATTGTGCACTTGTCAGGGGTACCACAGTTCAGTCTGACATGACTCACACTCTATCCTGGGACTTATCAGCTGGTGCTATGGTGAAGCTTGGGTGGCTTGCATCTATTCTGGCTCTCGTGCATGCCAGCAGGTACAGCAGCCAGCCTGGCTTGCCCCCAAATCGGCCCACTCCCAGTCCCAGTTCTCATGCTCACCAGTGAAAGCAGAAGCCTAACAATGGAGTCCTCAAAGTTCCCCTAACAGGCCTGCTCCTAGCCCTGGGTCTTGTGCATGTCAGCAGGAGCTGCAGCCCAGTCTGAGATGGTCTACCCCCAGTCTTGGCATATGCCAGCAGTTATTACATCCTGACTCAGCCTGGCCTGCTCCCAGTCTCAATTCTCACAAGCAGGTGCAGCAGCCTAGTTTAGCCTGGCCCACCATGAATCTTCCCAACCCAGCCTGGCCCAACTGTACCCTGTCCAGGCTGTCACTCATGACAATATATGCTGTGCATATTACATCCTGACTCTGCCCGGACCCAGTTCACTCATATGCCAATGGATGCTGCTGTCCAATCTGGTCTAGATTGCTCCTAGCCCTGATGCTTGCACTCACCAGTAGGAGTTGTGGCCTAGCAGGAGTGTTCTCCAAATTCTTCTACCAATAGTGCTCCCAGCAATTGATCTTGTGTGTGCTGGAAGATGCTGCTGCCCAGACCGATACTCACTGGTGGGTACTGCTATTTGGCCAGACTGGCCTGTATCCATTTTAGCTCTCACTGATGGGTGCTATGGCCTAGCCCAACCTGGCCAACCCCAGATATGGCTCACATGTGACCCAGCAGGTGCTGCAGCATAGCCCAGCCTGACACACTCCTATTCTGGCTTTTGTGGGTGTAGGAACCTAGTCCAGTTTGGTCTGCTCCCAGATCCAGCTCACACACATGCTGAGGGGTGCTGCAGCCTTGCCACCCTGATCTTCCTTCAGTCCATTCCCTAGGGAGAGTTGCAGTCTACCAGGAGAGTCTCCGGAGTTCCCCTGCCAGGCATGTTCCCAGCCTCAGGTCTTGATTGTGCTGGCTGGGGCTTTAACCAGCCTCACATGGTTTACCCTCAGCCCCAGCTCTTGCTGCTGGATGTTGCAGCCTACCCCAGATGGGTGCAGCACACTGGCACAGCCTGGCCTGTACCCAGACTCAGTCTACACAGATGCTGATGAATATCACAGACCTTCCTGGCCTGGCCTGCAGCAAGTCCTGGATCTGGTGCTCCCCGGCAGGAGCTGCAGCCTATTAGAGGAATTCCCCAAGTTCCTCCCCGCAATGCCTGATCCCAGCCCTAGATCTCAGGTGTGTCAGTAGGTTTAGTTGCCTTGCTTGGCATGATCTGTCCTCAGTTCTGGCTTTTGCATGTATCACTGGCTGTTGCAGCCCGACCTCACCGGGCCTCCTCCAAGCATTAGCTGCTGCGAGTGTCACTCAGGTAGGTTTCCGTCAGGTGAATTCTGTGGCCAGCCTGGCTAGGACCATCATTTCCCAAAGCTTTCTGAGCAAACCAGTAGGTGCTGCAACCCTACAGAAATAAGCCCACAAGTCCCCTTCAGAATCTGCTCCCAGATCTGGTTCTTTCACATTCGGTAGGTGCTGCAGCCCATTCCGACATGGCCTACCCCCTGCTCTGACACATGAATACTGAGGCCTAACCTAGCCAGGCATGTCCCCCAGCCCAGAGGAAGAGAGACAGAGAGGAAGATCTTTCATCTGATGATTCACTCCCCAAGTGACTGCAACAGCTAGAGCTGCGCCAATCTGAAGCCAGGAGTCAGGAACTTCTCGCCCATCTGAAGCCAGTCAGGACCTTCTGGGTCTCCCACATGGATGCAGGATCCCAGGGCTGTGGGCTGTCTTCGACTGCTTTCCCAGGCCACAAGCAAGGAGCTGGATGGGAAGCTGGGCTGCTGGGATTAGAACTAGTGCCCATATAGGATCCCAGCAAGTTCAAGCCGAGGATTTTAACTGCTAGGCCACCGTGCCAGGCCCAGCTTTGTGCAATCTTAATTGAGTTTCCTGCAGTGCATCCTCTTCTTGGTGGACTGATTGGGTAGACTTCTGGAGAGCTGAGAAAGTACTGAAGTTGTAGGCCTTCAGGAAAAACACGTGAGGTGGAAAGATGGCCAAAGGCAGAGTAGGTGATAGTCAGGAGGTGGAGTGTGGGGAGGTAACCAGAGGGAAAGTTCAAAAATACAATCAGATGTTCTTACAGATCAAGCAACACAAAGACTGGTGCTGTGGCGTAATGCTGCTGCCTAGTGTGGCATCCCACCTAGAGCCTGAGAGTGCAGCCTGTTCAACTTCAAATGCATTGGAAGACTTGGGAAAGCAGCAGAAGATGGTCCAGGAACTTGGATCCATGTACCCACATGGAAGACCAGGATGAAGCTCCTGGCTCCTGGCTTTGGCCGGGTCCAGCCCTGGCCATTGGGGCCCTTTGGGGAGTATTTCAGCAGATGGGGGCGCTTCCTTTCTGTAACTATGTCTTTGAAAAGCAAATGTACAAATAATATCTTGGATAATTGCTCAAATTGGTCAAATGCAAAGGGATTTATTTGGGTCTTGAACGGAGGGGGTGGGATTAGGTCTGGGGTAGGAAATCTAGGGAGGGTTCTCAGTAGACCAGAGGAGGCTGGTGAGTGACTTGGGGGAGTGCTTGGGAGAGACAGCTGCCCCAGGCAAGTCCAGAGGATTCCGGAGAGGTGTGCGAGGCAACAGTCTCGGGATCCGTGACTGTGCCATCTCTCTCAGCCCTGCTGTGTGTGAGGAGCAAAGAAGCCAGAGGAAGCAAAGGAAGCTGACGGCTGCTGTACTTCAATTGCTGTTCCCCAGGGCGGGCGGCTGACCGTGGGAGCGCCGCTGCAGTTAGGAAAAGCGTGGAAAGGCTTGTCTTCAAAACAGGCACGGTTTCCTTAGCTTCGACACCAGAGGACTTCACGGAAATAGATTTTTTTTTTTTTAAACAAGGAACCGGGGGGTGGGGTGGGGGTACACCAGAGAGGGGCGGGATGTGAAGGACGAAGCATAACTAGCTTTCTTCTCCTTAAAACGCCCGCTCCTCCCGAGGGAGGCAGGGGACCGACCCGGCGCCTTCAGGCGGAAGCGCCGTTGCCATTGGCGGGTTTTACCTGCGCGGAGCCCGGGGCGCAGAGCTCAAAGTCCAGGGCTCGGACCCGGGAGGCGGCGGCGGGCGGCGCAGGTGGGCCCAAGCCATCGGTCGGTCAAGATGCCCCTGGGGTTACTGGGAAAGAAGAAGACCAAGTCCAAGGAGACCACCCCGCTGGTGGGGGGCGAGCAGGCGGGCGCGGGCGGCGGGAGCCTCCCGGAGCCCCCGGCGCCCCGGGCTTCCGAACGCAAGCTGAGCTTCCACACGCAGCTGGCGCACGGCAGTGCCACGGGCCAGGTGGAGAATTTCTCCAGTATCCGGGAGCTCTATATCAAGATCGCCGAAGTATTTAAGATCTCGCCGACCGAGGTAAGGGGTCAGGTGCTCAGCCTCGCCCGCCCGCCCCCTTCCTTCCTCCCTGCAGCGCTGTTTGAAACTGGCCGGGCATAAAATCGGGCAGAAAAAAAAAAAAAAGCTGCCGGATGGGAGGCTCCAGTAGCGTTCCCGAGGAGGCCAGTGGGTCTTGCAGGGAAGGGACTATGTAAATTCCGGAGTAAGAATGTCACGTCGCCCTATACTCCAGATCTGACTTCTGGAAGCAGGGGGATGGTGGCGGGGTGGAGCACTTGACCTTTCTTCCCCATGCCAATGAGCTTGTCACAGGTGTACGTCCCAGATTCTGCCATCCAAGGACTGACTGCTGCCCAGAGTCAAGATCTGTTGGACAAACTGACACCCCCATCTCATCTGGACTGGACTTCGCTTTCCTCTGCAGATGCGAGTCACGCTGGGCATGTCCCCAGATGCTGGGGCGGGGATTGGAAACCTCTTAAGGGGACACTCATGGGGGCCCGCCTCATCTCTCCTCTCTGTCATTCCCATCTTAGAAATACTTTGGTGGTACCTTGTAGGTATTTCCAAATTTGAAAAGCTGTATGTTGGCTCAGGGCTCCATAGCTCAGCTAATTAACCACGTGAGATTGAGAAGTTTACAAAATGTTCATGAAGGAGGTTATCTCTGACTTTTAAACATCACATCCATGTGAAAGGAGTTGACATTTATCATAACTCCATTGGATGTCTGCCTGGCACTGTGTTTATCCTTCTCAAGCGAAGTGTAAGTGCAAGGGGTGGAAAGTTAGCCCAAGAAAATGTTTGGTCTGCATTTGTAGAGGAAGTGCTGGATTTAGGAGTGCAGAGGTCCAGAGTGGCACAGGGTGACGTGTGGATTCTGCCTTTATCAGCCGTTTGTTAGGTCCACTCAGGTGAAATTGAGGCCATTGGCAAATTCCAAGAATCTGTGAAAGAGAGCGTGAGGTGTAACCCATTTCGGATTTCCCAGGCACTAGGAGGCACCTCAAAATTCTATTTTGTGAGTTATTTATATTGCTATAGCATGTTAAAAACACTTCATTTTCATACAGGATTTTTCCTTTGACCCTTTCTAGGGGATGTAAATGGCAGTACGTTAACCTTGGCTGTGAATCCAAGTTCTGCGCTTACTAGCTGTGGGGTCTTGAGCAAGTTTAACTTCCCTGTTTCAGTTACCTATCAAATAGAGCTGAGAGAGTGTTGTCGAGTCCCTGTATAAGCCTACCAGATTGCACAGCCTGTGGTTCAGGGCAAATGCATTGCAGCTACTATTATTTATTCCTCTCCATTCTTTCTTTTATTATTATTATTATTATTATCATTTTATGATACAGTAACATATGCCCTGGGGTTTCCACTACTCTTTCCCCTTATTCCCTCCCTCAAGTTCTCCCATATCATTACAATGCGTAGTTCTTCATAGAGAGTCATATGTCCATTAATACAGGCATGGATAATGGCAGAGTCCAGCATCTCATTGTCAAGACACATCCAAAAGTTTCACTGGGAGTCCATCCTTAATCTGGAAGTAGAGATGCACACAGCACCGTATCCACACAGCTGGACATGTCAATTTCCACTACACAGTCACTGTAAATCCCCCAGAGTGAAGGGCCCCAAAACAAAACCAACAACAGGAAGAAAAACAGAAATTTACAATGCCATGAAGTTAAGCAAAATGCCACTGGATATGATGGCCTCCAGTACAGTTACTATACAACCCCTTAGGTGAAAAGCCACAAAACAAAATCAACAACAGAAAGAAAAAATAGAAACCTACAAAGCCATGAAATTGAATAACAGGCTACTGAATGACTAATGTGTCACTGAAGAAATGAAAAAGGAAATCAAGAACCTTCTTGAAGAAAGTCATGCTGCTGTATGGTATGAATCATTAAAGAATTTAATGAGGAAAAAATGTGTTTTGAAGAAATGAAGCTAAAAACATCAAAATCCCTGAGATATAGTTTCCTCTAATCTATTTTGGTATATCTCCTGTAGCCAACAAAAGATGATTTTTGATTTTTTAATCCAGTCTACTAATCCATGACCTTTGAGTGTTGAGTTTAATCCATTTACATTCAGAACTAATATAAATGGGTGGTAATTTGATCCTGCTATTTTAGTAATGGGTTATTAATTGATTTAGTCTTCTGTTGTTATTTTATTGGGATGTTCTTTACATTTGCCTTTGGTTTTGGTGGGTGCCATTCCTCTTCTCTGTTTGGAAGTGGCATATTCTTTTAATTTTTCTTTGCTGTGGAAGAATTTTATTTCATTTTAAACACAAAGGAAAGCTTTGCTGGGTATGTTGTCCTGGGCCGACAATTTTTTTCTTTCAGAATCTGGAATATGTCCCTCCATTCTCTTTTGGCCTGTAGAGTTTCCTGTGAGAGGTATCCTGTGAGTTTAATTGCCATTTGTTTATATGTCAGTTGGTTTTTTTCATGTACACATTTAAAGATCTTTTCCTTATGTTTAATTGAAGAGAGCGTGATGATCATGTGTTGTGGTGAAGATTGCTTTTGGTCAACCCTGTTGGGGGTTTCTGTACCTCTCCTAAATGTTGTTTCTCAATTATTTTTCCAGATTAGGGAAATTTTTCCTTATTATTTCATTTGATACACTTAAAATATTTATTTATTTTTGTTGCAAACTTAGATATACAGAGAGGAGGAGAGACAAAGATCTTCCATCCGATGATTCGCTCCCCAAGTGACTGCAATGGCTGGTGCTACGCAGATCTGAAGCCAGGAGACAGGAGACTCTTCTAGGTCTCCCATGTGGGGGCAGGGTCCCAAGGCTTGGGTTGTCCTCTACTGCTTTCCCAGGCCACAAGCAGGGAGCTGGATGGGAAGTGGAGCTGCCGGGATTAGAACTGGTGCCCATATGGGATCTGGACACGTTCAAGGCGAGGACTTTAACTGCTAGGCCACCATGCCGGACCCTGGATATACTTTTAATTCCTGCTTCTGCAACTTCTGGGAGTCCCGTAATTCTTACATTTGGCCTTTAATAGCGTCTTTCAATTCTTGAATACTTTTTTTAGCTTGACCCAGCTCTGCTTCCAGCTTTTTGTTTGTTTCCCCTTGGTGACTGGAAATATATTCCACTTCTGAGATTCTTTCATCTGCTCCATTCATTCTATTTTGGAGACTCTCCACTGTACTTTTAGTTTGCTCCACTGTATTCTTCAATTTTGATATACCAGCTTCATTTGATTCATTTCCTGTGTGACATCTTCCTTAGGTTCTTTGAACTCCTGTATTACATGCTTTTCATTGTTGATAAGAAGCTTCGTAACAATTGTTTTGAATTCTGTATCTCTCATTTTGTTGATGTATTCCTCAGTTAACTCTGAGGTTGACCAAGGGTTTTGCTTCTATGCAGGGAAGTCTTCAGTAATATTCATTGTGCCTTTGTCTCTTCTTTTGCTCTTAGTGATTATACTTCTGGTTAACAGATTTTCCTTAGGGCAGGTTTCTAAGTTGTGTCATCCACAAGTCTGCAGTATGATTTTACTTATTGTAGTTGGTACGTGGTTCTTTGTTTGCAGTCATTTGTGCCACTCCCTCCAGTGAGTTTCAGATCTGGACCCTTATATTAGACTGGCTCAGCACTCTACCTCCTGTGATCCCACACTATTGTTGCGCCATTGTCTGGACAGCATTTCTCCCAGTTCCAGTTCCCACAGTTTCCAGGATGATAGCATTTGTGTAGCTCACTGTTGTTCCCGCAGTGTCAAAGCCTTTGCCATACTGTGCAAAATGGCACCTGATGTGAAACTCATGGAGTTCTCGATCTCCTGGCTGTTATATCTAGGGGCTACTGGGACTTATTCTGTGTGGAACCTGATGGATGCCTTGTTGTTGCAATTCACTGAGTCTGAAATGAGTTTGTTCCCAGCTTATTGCTTGTACAGTCCTGTCCCATAGCCATTATCTCCCTACACAAGATGGTGCTCGATTTGGCTCTAGTGGGGGTTTGGGCTGTGAAATCCAACCTATTCCTGCACTGCCAGTCTGGGATCTGCTGTTCTTTTTCTGCTCCAGGTCAAATCAAACAAGCCACAGGACAAGCAGTTCTTTGTCAGGGTTTACGTCCTGAGTTCCTGGTGAACTCACCTTTCCATCTGGTTGCTGGTTGAGTTTCGGCTGTCGGTTGAATTCAGATCTCCGTTTGCTAAATGTCATTGGCATATTGGATCACTGCAGCACCACACAGTTATATTTGCTGCTTTTCTGTGTCCATCAGTCTCCAGGTGCCCATCTGCTGTCAAGCTATCCTCCCCTATTTCCTGGAAGGTGCCTTTTCTGCTTCACCCTGGCCAATGTTTCTCCGTCTATTTATATGTGTCATTACCCTATTCTGCCATCTTTATTCTTCTGCAACTACTATTATTAATACCTAAAAGTTAAATGAGGAACAGGGGTGCCAAGTGGTTGAATCTTGTCCAAAAACACACAACTGGTTTCTGAACTACTGAGTGAGTTAGCATATTTAACTGACGACTTAATGTCTCTTCTGTAGCTGGCAACTCATTACCATATGTCTATTGCATGACATTGTTCTAGGCTCACAAATAATGATTTTATTCCATCCTCTTGTTCTGTGAGAAATAGTTTTACTAATGTCTTTGTTTCCCAAAGAGGAAGTTGAGACTTTGTTGCAGAGCCTGGACTTAAGCCCAGGTTTTAATTTCCTTTTTACCTCACATTCTATGAAGCTATATTGTTTCCCAACTTGCCAGTGTCTCTGTAGTAGCTTGGCAGCCATGTCCAAGGTTTTCAATTTCCAGGGAAAGATAAAATTTCAGGTTCATAAATATAAGTTGTTTTGATATGTCACATTAGCATAACAAATATATATGTGTGCTTAAGCATATAACCAACATTAATGCAGGATTCATATCTTGATTAAAAAGAGTTAATAAGTATATACAAGATAAAGTATTGATCATCATAGTATGGTATGTCGTAAGTCTCTTCATACAGTTA